ATTGACATTGGATGATAACCTGCGGTGCTGATGCGTATTTATTAGTAAATAACGTAAGTATACAATAGACTTATTACAATCACATAAGATTTAACATTGTGCATACTCATTTAGATTAAATAAATGTAGGAAAAATAATACTTATCATATTATTGCTATTTATAGAATATTCGCTTTGTATCCACAAATTCGATCTTATGCCGATAACATAATGACGATTTTGAGTTAACAATGCTATAAGATAAATAAGTATCTCCTTCGAAAATCGTATATTTTCATTAATGGGCAGTCAATAAATAGGAGATCAGTTACAAATGATACATCCGATGATGGCGCACTTTACAGCTGTATACACAAACAAATAAATCCATTCCACATTGATTATAAACATCCAATTTAACGAATCCAAATCTTTTCATTACCAAATCTATGAGTAGATTTTTGGATATTTTTTCTTTTTTAATAAAGAATAATAATGAAACAGAAAAAGTAATCTTTTTCATATGAACCCAAACAATTTTCATTGCTTTGATGTTATCTGCTTATTAAATTTACAAATAATTGTTTTATTTTAAATGCAATCCATTTCGGGTCGTCGTTAAAGTTCACTGAATAGATGCGTATTTGCTTGGCCTGAAATATCGTGCGCTGTTTACGAATCGGTGTGCGGTCTGTCGGGTGGCGCGGGCGCTGGTTCGTTCGGTTGCAGCGTGATCGAAGCGGTCGGCTCCGACGCGGACGCCTGAATATGTGTATTATTTTAAAACCATTCAACAGCGAGTCGGGTAGCTTGCAGAGGACGCCATTTATAAAGTTATAAAAACAACAGTAGCTCTATATGTAATCCATAGGCAAAGAACTGAGGAGTTTTTTTTCTTTTTCATAATTATTGCATTCTAGTTTCGAAGGGATGGAACAGTCAATTTTCTTTAATTAATTAGGACTATTTATTAAGGATACTTAACGGGTATGGAAGTTTCTGGATATGATAGTGTTACTGTGATTGCAATGGACATTCGAAAAATAACGGCCGAATCTATGAAATGTATATTTAATTCTGGTGAAAGGACTAAAGATACCTGTGTTTCGGTGGTGGTGACGGTGGTGGTGTTGGTGGTGGTGGCGTGTTGTTGTCTCGCTCGTCGTCGCTCCACGTGCCCGAAGCAGTGCTCACACTCGTTGTCGCTGTCATCGGAGTCCGATTCGCCGAAGCGGTACGGCTTCTCGTATATGCAACAACCTGACGGAGACCATTACATAGTGTACACTCTCTTACCAGCTCTTCTCTCTCTTGTTACCAGCTTTTGCATTTGCTTTACTATTAAAAAATAAGTCAAAATATGGCGAGTATTAATAGGGTCTTAAATAATTTGCAATTTTTTTTATGTAAACATATAACGACCATGGCCGACTGGTGCGTAAATCAGTTTTGAGGCGTTACTTTCTCTGAGAGTTCGATTCTTGGTCATTGTAGATACTTTCCATTTATTTCAGGTATGTTCTGTTGTGGTACCTTATATGTTTCAGATTTCCATAAGACATGGGCTTATAACGTAGCTCGGTAGCGTAGTGTAGCGCCGCGGCCCGCGATAAGTTATCTTTCGCAAGGATTGGTCGCGGGATTAGTGACTAGAAATTATTATCTCGACTCTGTGCTTCGGCAGGCACGTTAAGCTATTGCTCCCAGCCGCATGTGTCGTTAATGCCCTCCAATCTGCATTGGTCCAGCGTGGACGGTCATGGCTCATCCTACTTAACCATCCATAAGGAAGGTCTGAGCCCTGCAGTGGGGACGTAAAAAGGCTGATGCTGATGATTATGCTAGTTAATTTGGAATCGGAGTAAAATATGTGATTTTGTTTATTTTGATTAAATAGGGCACTCACATTTAGACTTTTTCTTGTTCATGTTTTCGTTGTCGACAGTGTCCTCCGACCAGACAACCTTCTTGCTGTCCCGCTGCTTAGTTCGAGTTGGACGCAGCGTAATCACAGCCACCGGCTCTACGGGTTCCTGTTGAAAAATATCGTACTAATCCTTCACACTATCAACTAACTAAATTGAGAATATTGTGGTTCTATGACGTAGGCCTCTTTCACTTTAATGGCCGTTAAAGCTACATTAGATTTGCCTTTTCATTTTCTTTTATTATATTGATTTGTAAATGAGTAATGAGTGAGTAAGCGTTATTCATTAACAATATTTTTCAGTATAGCATTATGAATGAAAAATTGATCAAATATAATAGTTAGAACAAATTTTTTATAATTTATCGAAAGTTTAAATATTTGTCAAAGGCAAAGTCAAAATAATCTTTATTCAAATAGACTTCTTAAAAGTACTTTTGAATCGTCCAACATTTTTTCCCTACCGCTCGTTCAGGACGTCTTTTGGCTGATAATAAAAACGAGCATGAAACTCACCAGCTCTAATACAAAAACTATGTCATTACCAGATCAATACATTATAAACAGAGATAAAAAAAACTATGGTCTTATAATAATAACATAATCATTTAATAATAATGGAAACAAGATATTTTTTGATATATAAAAAAGTAATCACCTATCCAGCTGCTGGATCATCTCAAGTCGGATGCCGTTATATAATCGGATGCCGTTATAGTAGATTTAAACTGCATGACATCTAATTATTGTATTTTGCTTGGGACCTTATTGTAAAAAAATATTTTTTTTGGCAGTTTAGGTGAATTGCCTGAACATTGATGAGAAAACGTTCTATAGGAGCTAAAAAGTAACAAGTGCCTGAGAGATTAGTCAGTCTTGTTAGGTCCTGGGTAGCTCAGTGGTTAGAGCAGTCGCTCGGAAAGGTCATGGGTTAGAATCCCATCTCAGGGTGCCAGGGACCAAGTGGATTTCTTAAGCATTTGTCATTAATAATATTTTTCTATATAGCATCGTGAATGCGAAATTTATCAAATATAATATACAGGAATATTTTTTTTCCAGTGCAAAAATTTTTTTGGTGGTCAGTATCAGTAATAGAACACTTTTCCATAATTAGTTGAAAAATTTTTTTTTAATATTTTTATCCCTATCGAAACGGTAGAATATGGACACATTTTTTAAAATAAAACTTCAATGAAAACGTCTTCTCTTGCGTATACCACCGTGCATCCCCGCCGCACCCGGTAGCCCCCCGTAACAGCCCCCACCGCCCCGCTGGGACCGAGCGACGCGCGCGGCAGTGAGACTCATACGCACGCGCCGATGTGACGTGCCCTCGCGTTCTCGCGCACGCGACGCGCCCGCCGTCGTGAGTTTTACGAGATGGTACGAGTTTATCTTCTGAGTGGTGAAAACCTACATAAGCGCAATTCGGAGAAAGTATGCGACGAAGAGCATACCTCGTATGCGGGCCTTTGGGATCCGTAACCCCGCCGTCCCTAATGCTTCGAACCATTTTAACAGACGAAGTCCCAGAGTCAGTAATCACGATGCGGCATGTCTCTTTGGTGTGAGCCAGCCTGCGGTATTGAAGCTGCTAAAAACAGCCGGACTCCATCCGTACCACTTTCAGTCGGTTCAACAGTTCCATGACCTAGACCCAGTACCACGTCGAGCCTTATGTGAGTGGCTTCTACATCACCGCGATGCAAACATCTTGTGGACGGATGAGGCATTGTTCACACGTGAGGGACTCTTTCTTATGGGAAGAAGTCAAACGCCGAGATGTTGAGGAGGCACAAAGTCTAGAGGACCTAACAATAAAAAATAATAACGCTTTCAGTGAAGTGAAAAGTGACACTAGTGTTTTAAACAAATTAAATGACAATTTAATGAAATGTGCACGTTTATGTCTGGACAGACGTGGGCTTCATTTTGAACAAATATTAAAATACATGGTAAGTAATTAGTTAGGTATTTGTTTTGATTCATCATTATTGTAAATACGTAGATGATTCTAATTTTTTTAAATACGCCTTAACGCAGAAGTACCTACCTATGTAACTTCGGCATAACGTTAATATTTTTTTCTAGGTAACGAATTTGTTTCTCTTTTATTTTTTTGCATTGTGATGGCCTTAACTATAAAAGTATGAAGGGAAAATTGGAATTACTCTTAGAAATCACCTCAGATCATGGCATAAAATCTAGTTCGAATCTAACAAAATGAGCGGCCAGTGACCCGTGTAGATAGGTACCTACGAGTACATGCCTACGGCCGGCGTCGAGCGAGCGCTCAGCTGACGCACGGCGCGCGGTGTCCATAAATTAAGTTTTAAAATCTCGATCTTTGATAAGCGATAACTTTATTTTTTAGTATTAGAACATATCAAAATAAAAAATACGTGTTTGTTTAAATTACTTAAAGTTTATTTTCACAAAATCTTCGCAGTGGTTTTAAATTATTCCTGTAAAATTTTAATCAGTTATCCAAAAAACATGTTTTGTAATTTCTGATATTGTAATGGAAAGTGACTTCATAGTCTAATGGAATCACTTTGCAATAAGGCTTCTCTGTATGAAATTGTTGTATATTTTATATACGATATATTTTATATTGACCAAATAAATAAAATGTAAATATTAAACAATTGCGAACTTCGTATTTATTTGTTATGTCCTTATAAACCCTGCAGAGTTTCTTGCCAGTTCTACTAAGCACAAGGTCAGCTTGTAACAGCCTAGACTGAATTTGATTTCGACAAAAGGCTGTCTTGAACTGCAGCATGAATGCAAGCACAGCTCTCTACAGCAATTGAGTAACAAACTGCTGGGAGATTTTCACATACATTTTCTTAATGCAATTATAACGATTTGGATTAGTAAATGTGGGTTTTGTTTAATCTTTTAAATTTGAATATTATTTGTTATTTTTAGACAGCGCTAGAGAAAAGTATTGTGATAACTGCAAAAATTGCTTTGAAACATTGACAATTATCTGGATAAATATGATTCAATTTTAAAGTCGCATCTCCTTTCGTAATTTCACTAGTGTCAAGTAATATTTTTTGATCAGGCATCTCTTTTATAATTCGCCATATAATGAATATGCAGGTCGCATTAAAATTAAAACATTAAGCATATAAGTTTTATTAAGGAAGAAAAAACATCTTTATCAGATATACATAATATGGTTGTCTGTCAAATATTATCAACAACATGTCTATTTATCTTACAGAGAATACACAGTAAATTCTTATCTCACAGTTCAAATAACAACTGGTAGTGGTAGTGGTAATATAATAACACTTAAGTTATTATATTACCACTACCAGTTACTTAACCAATAACTAATATGAAATACGCTGTGCAAATATTAATAAACGTATATTTAGAAAAAAAAAAACAATATGACATAATTTTAATAGTTATAACATTTTCAATATTACCTAATCACTTTCTTAGCAAATAGATCATGAATTTTTTTATCATGGTACCCAAGGAAATTAGACAACACATCTTTAGTATGTTGGCCTATTGTAGGAGGGGCTGTCCTAGCACAGTTCCCTCCTTCACTGTACACTGTTGGGGGCCCCACAACTTTGACTGAGCCTGCATCAGGATGAGGTAATTCTTTCACCAACCCTATCTCTTTGACATGTTCATCATCAAAAACATCCCTCATCTTGTTCACTGGACCATTAGGAAAAGATGCTTTTTCAAAAATCTTCGACCACTCTTTATTTGTTTTCATCTTTATGACATCACTAATGATCCCAATTAATTCCTCTCTGTTAATTACTCTTACAGAGTTATCTTTGAATCTATTATCTGTTATTAACTCTGGCTTGCCGATCATGTTACACAAGTCAGCAAATTGTGCATTGGACCCTGTACCTATTACCATTTCACCATCTCTTGTCTTGAAGGACTGGTAAGGCACAATATTAGCATGTGCTGTGCCCCAACGCTGTCCTTCTATTCCACAATTAAGGTAAATGTTGGCTACATTTATCATACTTGAAATCTGGGTTGAGAGGAGGTTGCAATCAATTTTTTGACCTCTGTTGGTCTTTTGTCGATAATATAGGGCAGTCATGATGGCGCCAAAGGCATGTAAGCCGGTTGTCACATCTGTGATAGCAACACCTGGCTTTACTGGGTTACCATTTCTCTCACCGGTCACATTTAGCAGACCACCCATAGCAGAAGCAATGACATCATAGCTGAAATAAAAAATATTTTAGAATAGTAAAAATTAGGTTCAAGTATATTGGTTTGATATAAATTACCAACCCAGGTTTATTTTTATAAGGCCCAGTAGAACCAAAACCTGTAATTGCACAGTAAATGAGCCTTGAATTTATGGTTTTTAATTTGTTATAACCAACATCCATTGAATCCAACTTTCCAGGTAGGAAATTTTCTACCATCACATCACATTTCCTTGCTAAATCATACATAATATTTCTACCTGAAAATAGCATAGTTAATGTATAAAGTATCATAGTATTAAAACAAAAAATTAGTAGTCTAATAATAAGCATAAAAAGAGCATCACCTATCTGTTGTTTAACTTATCAATTTATATAATAGTACAAAGTTAAGACAAACAACAATGATTGTGAATACATAATACATACCTTCTTCTGATTTTAAATCAATACAAATGCTCTTCTTGTTTCTGTTTACACTTAGAAAGTAAAAGGAGTCCTTCTTTCCTCCAACAAAAGGTGGTCCCCACTTCCTAGCCTCATCACCATCTACGCTTTCCACTTTGATAATATTTGCACCAAGATCCCCCAGGGTCATAGTACAAAATGGACCCGCGATAACCCTGGTTAAGTCAAGGACATTGATGTCACCGAGTAGAGCTTGGGTTTTCGTCGCATAATATGATTTTTGTTGATGTATTGGGCCACATATTATCTTACATATCTTTTTCGCAAATGTCATTATTATTTGGTTAAAAAATCCAAGTGAGAGCACACGTTACACTCCTTGTAGTACTTTGAGCTTAGCGAATATTATTTTTAGTTATCAATAGATAAGTTACTGTTTGTAAAACTAACTAAACAAGGTTAACTACCTATTGTTCATACCTCTTGAAGTGGGGGTGCGACAGTGGCAACCGCCGAGCTGGTGGTAGCCATTTCTTCTGATCTTAGTATTCGTTCTCCCATTAAAGTTATACCGACAGAATATCTTTACATCATACACTTACTATAAATCGATATTTTTCTAAGATATTGTAGAACAAATATTTCTAACCTAACTTTTAAATTCTAGAAATGTCACTGTCATTCATATTATGTCAATCAATCATATTGTCTATGACAAAATAATAGAGTATTCTCATTAGTTTTTATAAATAAAGAATCCATTCCTTATTTTAAAACTAAAACCCTGCTGCCATATAAGTATATGTCACCGGCAAATAACAAGAACCGCAAATTGATAAATTTCCTAGGATATTTTTATAAAATTTCTTGGATTCTAAACTAGAGATAAATTGTATTATTTTACGCTCATATTTTCGTAAATAGATAAACTTACCGAATTAACTGCTTAAACTAAGTCATTAAATTAAAAAAATAAAGAAAATATCATCAATAAATTATATAAAAATATTTTTTCAATAATAACTACCATTTATAATAATAAAATTTGACAATTATCCTTTAGTCTCCCTGGCCAGCTGTCTCCATCACCACAGTAGAGACCACACATACAACCTTACGGTTCTTAAAGTGATAGTATCGCTTCAATTTAAGTTAATATCAACTAGAAGATTCTGTATTTTGGATATTGTTAGGTAATTTGTTGTACAAATGAGCTCCTTCGTAGGATATTTTTACAAATGAGTATAGATACTTTTAATATGTTAATATTTTATACAATTAAGTAAATTAATTTTCAAAACTTAATAACAACTCATATTCTCTTTGTACTTTTTCGTATTTGTTTTGATATCTAAGTTTCGAACTTTGCAAATTTCAGTTTTTTTAAATGTTAGTTTAAAGAAACGCAAATGACTATCGTTGGTCCATTCGTTTCCTGCAACAATTAACTTTTGCTTTGCTTTTGCTAGAGTCGCCTTCTAGTGACTCCTCACTATGCTTCTTTATGGTTTCTTTTTTTCATACTTCCTCATTGCATTGGGTTCAACCCGATAAACATATTACATGTGTGATTGCGATGCGATTATAGTTCCGTGTCGCTAATATTTTTCATCCTTCTCCAGCACAACATAAGTCCTACACTACTCCTGATAGATAATTTTCTCGAGTATGTAGACTGCCAATAATGCCTTGAATATAATTAATAACGCCGTCGTTTCTTTCATTATTTTTGTTAGTAAAACAATAATATCATTGCTACAGTCTTTATAAATTTACATGTTATTGTATACATTTTAAAAAATGCTGGTAAATAGTAATTGATACATGAACACAAAATAGTATTTAGAAAATCGGAAATATACATAAGTTATTTTCTTATCAATGAAATCGAGTGAATGCCAGTAATTTTTTTTGTCTTACAATAGTACAAGCATTATAATGTATATATTCTAAATACATTACTGTTGATGATAATTATTATTATCGATAATGCGTAACTATAACGCTTTGTTATATTGGTATACTATGAAGAAATTGAAAGTATAGGTATGACGAATTTTTATATTCTATAATTATATTCGGATAATATTTACATTTGTCAGTTGTTAAACATAGGTGTATGTATTGAACTCCTAAGTTGGCCACACCGTTAAAAAGCTAGTGTTGGGACATCACAATCGCATGTCATATCGAATATCGCATAGTGATATTTTATTAAAACAACTATCATCTACACTTCTTATATTCTTTATCACAGAAGCCTTGGTGGACTTAGATTCAAATTTTTTGTGGCTTTAATATTAATCAATCAGTTACTGTCTGATAATATCAAACAATAATATTGGGCACAACAATAGGTATTTAATGCAGAAACCTTTTATTTAAAAACTAGATGACCCGTCGTACTAATTATCACCTATCACGTTTTAAACCTTCCTCGGATTACAACTAACGTTTTAGCACCAATATCAGCCAAATCGGTCCAATATATAATAATAAAGAGGTAATATCTCATTGTTTGTTTGTGTCCAATGAAATCTGAAACCAATGAATTCTAATAAAAATTATTTTATCCATGGGATGCTTCATCACATCATACACGAATAAGCATAGGCTATAATTTACACGGGCGAAGTCGCGGTAAAACAGCTAGTTTATTAGTATTGAGATTATTTATAACCAGTGGTCGGAATTAGGTAGAGTTATTCATATACTTACACTGATTTCATACAGCGAAAGAATAAAGTGGATATGCCTCAAATCCCGAGATTAATTTTCCCGAGATTTTTTTAATAAAAAGTTATTTACTTTTACACAATTTAAACTACTGCATGCACGACGTTGCCAAACTTACATCAATGAAAGAAAGACATAGAGAAATCCCGGGAAGGTCCACATTGATATCAACATTTCGATGCAAGTACATAAATAACTCTACCTAATTCCGACCTCTGCTTATAACATAATTAATAATAGGGATTAATAATTCTTTATTTTAAAACAAAATAAAATAAAATAATTTTAGTTGTTGTGCATTACCTCTTTGATGGTATTTTTTTTTGTGTTGAAAGAAGTTTATGTAAACAGTTCATTAGTTCTTACTACGAGTATTTCGATTAAACGATATAAAATTTCGGTTACTTATTTCGATATTCATGTTGACCAACAAATATCAAATGATCACTATCCTGGCCAGGCTGGGCCATGTGGTCAAACTCATTAGAGGGCACTGAAACTATACTGAAAATTTGTTATTTTTTTCGATATAAGTAAATGCATACCCTACCACTAATCTTTGTGCACGCCCCTGTAAATAAGCATTCTAATAATGGTAATAATCGGGCTTAGACAGAAATAGAAAAAATGAATGAAAGAAAATTTGTAAAACTTTGGGTACTTACAATTGCACCCACTAACGCATTTGGTACCCATGATTTATTTAACGATCAGTCAACGACATGCTTTTCGAATGTCAAATGTCTAAAAAAACTAATTGTTTGAATTAGTAATTCGTGTCGGTGTTTGCGGTGAAACTGCAAGTGTTATGAACTCAAAAGAATTCATTGGAATAATTCCAGGTCCGACCGTAGACCTACCCACGTAAATAAGTTCGTGGGAGTACGCTGCTTTTGGAGTGCCCTTTTCAAGACATTTATAATACTCACGATTTGTTTCATGAACTGAAACACATTCTAAATTTTTTTTCTGTTAAAGACTTAAGTTATGAGCTAAAAAGTTTTCTTTTAAATTAAGGCAATAAGGAAGTTTCATGATGTTGATATTATTATATTTAACACACTTTAATAGAAATGTAGGTTAAAAATAAAATAATTCAGGAAACAAAATTAAAATCCGTTAATAGATGACCAAGTTATAGATTATTTAAATCTGCGTGTTTTCTTCTTTGGCCTCTTTGGCGTCTTTGGCTTCCGACTCGCCTGTAGTGCCACAGCACCGAACTCGAGAACGTCTCACTACAATTCTTCAAAAAATATCGACACCTGCAATGAACAACATTGTAAATCACTTTTTGCTGATTTTGAGTTAATATACATTCTTATTTAGAAAAAAAAATGTAGATTTTTTTGCACTTATCCACGTATCGAAATTGTGTATACTTCAGATTTTACACGGTGTGAATACATTGTGAGTGCAGGTAACCTGTAATTACTAAAATCGTATATTTAGTTACACGTAATTTTGTTGTACCGACCATTATTGATTTACGTGAATAAAATTGTAATCCAAGGTACAATTTTGTTCCTAGATATTATTACTTTATAGTTTTCAACTAAATTTCATCGCAACTTTAGGTAGAATGCTTTCATATTCTAAAATAGGCCAAAATATTTATTTTCAAATAGTAACATGAGATGTAATTATTTTCTCCACAAAAGTTTGCATGTTTCGTGCAGAAATATCTTTGTTAGTCATAATTACAATATTTTCATTCCCGAACACCCACGGACGTAGCTATAGCTTTGACAAGGGGGGGAGGTCCAGAAAACAAAAAACAGAGCTCTTACACGAATAAAATCTATCACTTACAAATTAAACAATGCCTGCGACTATAACACGCAAATACAATTATAATATATACTAATCTATAATATATAACTTAAGTTATTAGTAATGTATGTATCCCCCAAGACCCCCCCCCTTATATACGTCCGTGCGAACACCAGTTGAAGTGAGCAAGTTTCACTGAGTTTTTAATTGTGCTAGTTGGTGAGTGTATTTCTTTGTTTTGAATTTTTTAATTGTGAATAAAGTGTGTATAACTGTACTTAGGGTTTATATTGAGTCCCTGAAGTAAGATCATTGAGTTAGCTTTAGCTAAAAGTGAAATTAACAAAAATAAGTAGTTATTCTGTTTAGTACTTATAGGTTAATTATCTTTGATTCGGTTTAAGTAGGTGCATAACATATTCAATTCCACCGTTTCAGTTTTAAAGGAAAACGTAAAGAATCTAGATAATAATAATGATATTGAGATAAGTGAACGATTGATACCAAATTTGCCACTAGTGTTTATAGAAGAAACAGGTTAGATTCAAAATATAGCTATGTAACAAAAGTGATTTATTAAATTTTAAATATTAATCTGCAACGGCGTACTCCGCAAAAAAAAACCAGAATGAACAATCGATATCCGATAAAACATAAGATAAGTGATTTACTCACCAGGAGTTTCGGAATACCTACCGCCTCCAGAAACTGGTAAGCTTTTTGTTACATCATTATTAATTATTGTGCAGAGGAGCTTGATGGCGCAGTGGTTAGCACGTTCGGTCTGCGATACGGAAGTTAAGCAACTTTCGCAAGGGCTAGGATATTTTGCAAGGATTTGATAAGATTTTTTTTTTATCCTCGTTTCCTATTTTTCTCGCGTACTATTCACCAAATAAATTACTTTTAAACGGTTTTATCGCTAGTGATTTGAAACATATTTCGGATTTTTTGGGATTCTTTACAGGTTTTGTGTTCATCAAATTGTAAAACGTTGGAAACGTCTGAAAAATGAAATATATTTTCAAAAATAGACATGAAAAACAGTTTAAATGTAATTATATATAGGGATGGTAGGATGGGAAGGCTTAATAAACCTTTTTTTATTGAATATACTAAGAAAAACTAATGTTTTATTATTCGCTATTCATTGATT